TCAAATTTTGTTCATACTAATACAATGAAATCGATTAGACAATTTTTTGTTTTCTATTCAATATACTATTAATATATTAATTAAATAAATATATAATATATATATATAGATATATATATATAAATTCGTCCGAATTTTGTTCTTATACTCGTCCACATTTCTTTTGTTATCCAAATGCAGGACATGTGAAAAGAATAAATGTAACAACCCTAAAGAAATATTAAATTGAAAAACGAACGAATTTACGTTGAAAATTCCATCTGGAGTAGAATCATCGTACAACTCTCATGATTATTATTTTAAGGACCACTCAGTGGTCTCCTCGCAAGAAAGTTCGTCTTCCAAGGTTAAAGGGCAGTATTCATCAGGCGTAATTCTTTCCAAACGACCAATATCCAGTTTTGGTTTGAATGGAAGATCGGCCACTCGTATACCCTTCATCTCCTCCCTCCACTCTGTTTGACCCTCCTCTTTGTCCTCTTCAAATTCCCAAAAATCTTCGTCCTGTCCAATGGTTCCCCCCCGTTGTCTCATTTTAACGCTAATAAAATCTTCTTCCTTCAATGTGATAGTTTTAACGCGTTTCTTTTTCTTTTTCCTTTTACTACCACCACCACCCCCTTTCTTTGATTTTTCTTTTTCTTCATAAATTTCTTCTTCATCCAACATTTTCGGGACAAGTTTTTTCTTTTTCGGTTTTATCAAAATTTCTGCCATTTCTTTATCGGGCTTTTTTATCATCGACACTTCTTCCTCATTATTATTATTATTATTATTATTATTTGAATCTTCTTTTTCCGTTAGGATTATTTCCAAAATTTCTTTCCTTTCAACAGACTCGTCCGGTCGGTCAATTAATTCGGCAATTTCAACACTTTCACAAGATTCTACATTTTCTTCGGTATCTACATTACCGACCGTGCAACTATCACGTCGTTTAAGTTCCTCCAATTTTTCAATCAAAACGTTTCCGTCGATAACGTGATTTTCTTTGTTATCGATACCCTTGACACTTTTCACATCAGACTTCATATGGGGATTTTTACGATATTCCTCGTGCAGGTAACTAGCAAATTGATCTCTAAAATAATCGTCGATCATTTTCCACACGTTGATGCTGTACCAACCAAGAATTCCAATGAGAAATGCGCAACGAATGAAAGCTGCCAACATTGTGATTGATTGATTGATTGTTTTACTTTTTAAATCAACAAGATAGAAAAAGAAAGAATAATAAATTGGAAGAAGGTTTTTCTTTTTTTTTTGAAAATTTGTCTTGTGGATTCTCTTTTGTTCGCATATAAAAAATAATTATAATAATAATAATAATCAAATATTAAATACACACGATC